TGATTGATTACTTAATCTACAGCTGCTTCTGGGTGCTCAGCAATTTTCCCTGTCTTGTTGCTATGAGACGAGGACTTCCCTGAATTCACCAGTGTGACAGGCATCGTGAAGAGGTGGTGGGCTCTGCCCACAAGTCACAGTGCCATCAAGCGGTCATTCTGGAAAACTGCTAGAGGAAGTCGGTTTGTTTCCATTGTTCTCTAATTACGGCACTCCAAGGTCATCATTTTCACAGATGAATTAGCAGGTTAAATGAACAGTGAAGACTTATGTATTCTTTTCATATTCTCCTGCACACAGTTTGGATTTTTAAAAATCTAATAATACATCCAGCCTGGCCAACATGATGAAACCCTGTCTTTACTAAAAATACAAAAAAATTAGCAGGGCGTGGTGGCACCAGGCCTGTAATCCCAGCTACTCCGGAGGCTGAGGCAGAAGAATTGCTTGAATCTTGGAGGCAGAGGTTGCAGTGAGCCGAGGTGAGTGCGGGAGTGGATCTGAGCTGCAACCTCAGCTGGGACTACAGGCCCACGCACCACACCTGACTAATTGTAGAGATGAGGGGTCTCACTATGTTGCCCAGGTTGGTCTCAAATTCCTGGGCTCAAGTGATCTGCCTGCCTGGCCTCCCAAAGTGCTGAGTAATAAATAAAATTAATGTATTAAAAAAAAATAAATGAATCATGCCACAGCAAGCGAAATGGCAAAGCTGAAATAAAGTTGAACTGGTGGGTAGGAGACATTGTCGGTTAGCCCTAACTTCATGTCTCTTGGTCTTAACTCCACTTCTAACCAATGAAGGGGTTGGGCTAGGTCTCCTAACATCCCTTCTGCTCTAAAAGTGTCTAATTCTTTGCTTCTTTTACATATGGTTTTTAGAGGAGCATAACCTGGAGGCGGACCCTGGTCAGGTCTCCCCAGCTGAGCTTGGTTATGTGGTTTCAAAGTGAGCTTGTGCAAATGGCAGCAAGGATGGAAGAGTGGAAGAGGGCTGTGCCCATAGAGGTGAAATTGCCAGCAGTCTCTGGCAAACGACTCTACTCCTCACATGCTTGGTGGAGATGGGCCTCCACCACAGATAAAATTGTCCTTCCTGAGGGAGAAGTCTGGCCCAGGGTATCAGCTCTGGCCATGGGGGCTAAGCTTGTGATGAAAGGCTCACAGGCAAACGCATCTGAGCTGGATGTAGTTTTTGACTTAGGAGCAGGCTGGGCATTAATGCATTCAATGAAGCTGAGAAGGGAGAATTCAAATTCCACTCAAAGGATGCATCCCTGTCCCTTCCCTCCCCACTGACGGTTTATGAGAATCTGGCACCAGGTAGGAGAACTGCCTCCTCTGTGGAGGCTGCTTCCCCCTGTTGCCTTTCTTGGACTCCTGTTTGGAGGCCACATGAATCCGGATTTGTGGTGCACCTCATTGTGCACCTGGTAGTCATTTGCTTATTCTCTCCAATAGCCTGTCTCCCTGTGGCTTAATTCTGGTTCTTGTGGAGTAAATGTGAGGTGTGCTGAATGCTGTTCTTATGTTGCAGGACCTAAGCAAATTTTCATCAATCTGTGCCTTATGTGAAGCCTCCTCCAAATTCAGGATCAAGAGAGACGCCAGGAATGCTGAATATCAAGCTAAACAAAAAAGCCGTGGATTACCAACATGCTGAGAGAACATAGCTGAATACAGGTAATACAGGTCATGCGACTCTGGAGCTCTCTTAATTGTGACTTAATACTCTTAATTTGTCATTATTTGGGAGATTAAAAATACTTTCTGGCCTGCATGGTGGCTCACACTTGTAATCCCAGCACTTTGGGAGGCCAAGGTGGATGGATCACTTGAGGCCAGGAGTTCAAGACCAGCTTGACCAACAAGGCCAAACCCTGTCTCTACTAAAAATACAAAAAATTAGCCAGGTGTGGACCTGTAGTCCCAGCTACTTAGGAGGCCATGGCACGAGAATCACTTGAACCTGGGAGACGGAGGTTGCACTGAGCTGAGATTGTGCCACTGCACCCCAGCTTGGGTGATGGAGAGAAATTGTCTCAAAAAGAAAACAAACAAACAAACAAACAAACTCTCTACACAAGAGCTTACATGAGGTTGTCTCACCGAATATCCACCTAATATGGTAAAAGACAGCATGGAACTTAGAAATCACCTAGTGAGATCTAGAAATATATAAAAAACAAATTGGAAACAAATTAAACTTTTCACACTCTAATTCTAAAAAGTCATATTTCATTGAAAAAGACAATAAAACTATGGCAGGGTCTCTTCAAGTCTGAACCATAAAATTCAAGGGCTAAGTGTGGTAAATATCTGGCACATTTTGTTGTTTTAGAGCCATTTGCTGATAAGAATGTGAGGAGGAGGGGAAAGGGAGAAAGAAAAATAGATTATTTCTGTCTTTGGAATTTGTGATTGAAGAAAGCATCTCAATTTAAAAACATCAGCTCTGTAAATGTTTTGTAGATTAAATGTTTTGTTATTCTTTGCCCCAAATATCAAATGTAATTTTGTCTCATTCCCCCGTGTCTGAGACATGGGAAGGTACAGGTTTCCCTCCTTATCTCAGGCATTCTACAGCACTAGCCCAAGAACCTGTCTATAGCCAAGGAACAGGTGAGGGCCAGCTCATTACATTTCACCTAGACTCTTTTTTTTTTTTTTTTTTTTTTTTTTTTTTTTTTTTTTTTTTTGAGTCTTCTTTTTTTTTTTTTTTTTAACCACCACTTGTCAGCAGGAATCACATAGACTCTTTTTAAGAATCACCAGTGAATCTTAAATTCAGCTGATTTTTAAAAATTGAAAATAAAAAAGTCTCACCCCTGTAATCCCAGCACTTTGGATTAGCTTGGTGTGGTGGCAGGTGCCTATAATTTCAGCTACTCAGGAGGCTGAGGCAGGAGAAGCAATTGAACTCAGGAGGCAGAGGAGGTTGCAGTGAGCCAAGATCACACCATTGCACTCTAGCCTGGGAAATAGAGTGAGACTCCATCTCGGAAAATAAAAAAGGAAAAAGAATGGCCAAATTCTCTTAGAACTTTGACTTCCACCAAGGCTGTGGTCAGGAGGCCCTTCAAGGCCTGGATGGGCTTGGCCCCTCATGTTCTCTAGGGAGACATTGAAATGTCAAGGAAAGAGCGACAGACAGACATGCGGTTAGAGGCCCCGAGTTTGAATACCAGCTCTGTCACATTCCAACTTGGGCAGGTCACATAACTTTTGAGTTCCAGTTTGCTCATCTATAAAAGGGATGATAATAAATACGTCACAGAATTGTTGAGAGGATAAAGGAGATAATGCATGTAAAATTGCTGAACAACTGGAGTTATTATTTGTAGCTCTTGTTAACTAGGGCATGAAAATGCATACCAGTCTTGTCTGTAAACCCTTTGTTTAAATAAAAACATTTTTTAAATGTGCTGTCTGGTCATCGATTTGAAATAATGGAGATCTGGGAACCAGAGGAAAAAAAAATCCCTAGTTATCACAGAAGAGTTTCAGCTTGGCCAGGGTATGTGCCCTGGAGAGGAGAGATGAGGGAGAACAGGCTGTGGCCAGGGAAATGGCCTCATGAGTTTCTAGGAGAAAGAGGAAGGCAGTCCCTGCCCTTGCTGTCCTGCTGTATAGGGGTAGGGCTGGGCAGCTGAAAGTCTCTGCTTGAATTGCAGAGTACAGAAAATGCCATCTGTCATTTCTGTCTTTGGCATTTTTTTAGACATGCTAGCAACAGCACCTGCTCATTTACTTGTATATAACTCAAAAATGGGAGGTAAATGTTCTAGACACAGCCTAGATGGGACACAAATGTGAGGAAAACATTGCATTGACTTTGCATTTTTCAGGGCTTCATCAGCCGCTCAGATGAAGGAAGGATAAAAACAAGAGAAAGAGCAAGAGAAATTAGGCAGCGCTGTATGCTTTTTCCCCCTAAAAATTCTTATTAAAATCCAACCACAGAAGACGTCCCAGCAAGTTCCAGTATATGGCATGCTTTCCATAGCAGATCTGGCTAGTGGTTACTTGGAGGAAGGTAATGTGACAACCTATACAATATTAAACTCATACTAAATGTTGCTTAGTGAAGGAAACAGCCATCTCTGAGATAGGTGACATGGGATTTCATTTGTAACTGAAGCCCTAGTTACAAAAATTCAATAAGGAGAAAAAGAAAACAAAATAGGCTGGGCACGGTGGCTCACACCTGTAATCTCAGTACTTCGAGAGGCTGAGGCAGGCAGATCATGAGGTCAGGAGTTCGAGACCAGCCTGACCAACATGGTGAAACCCCATCTCTACTAAAAATACAAAAATTAGCTGTGTGGTGGCGCGTGCCTATAATCCCAGCTACTCAGGAGGCTGAGGCAGGAGAAACGCTTGAACCCGGGAGGTGGAGGTTGCAGTGAGCCAAGAATATGCCACTGCACTCTAGCCTGAGTGACAAAGCGAGACTCTGTCTCAAAAAGAACAAAGCCAAACCAAAAACCAAAAGACTAGATTGAATCATTAATCAAAGACTGTGTGTATGGCTTAGGTTTATGTTTTTGAACCTAACAGTAAATAAGTGGTAAGAAAGCATTTTCCTTTTTTTTTTTGAGACAGAGTTTCGCTCTTGTTACCCAGGCTGGAGGGCAATGGCGCGATCTCGGCTCACTGCAACCTCCGCCTCCCGGGTTCAAGCAATTCTCCTGCCTCAGCCTCCCAAGTAGCTGGGATTACAGGCATGCGCCACCATGCCCAGCTAATTTTTGTATTTTTAGTAGAGACGGGGTTTCACCTTGTTGACCAGGATGGTCTCGATCAATTGACCTCGTGATCCACCCGCCTCGGCCTCCCAAAGTGCTGGGATTACAGGCGTGAGCCACCGCGCCCGTCCCATTTTCTTTTTTATGTGTGTAACTAATATATTAATAGTAAAATAACTGTTGGCTATAGTTCAAAGCAAACGCTTTTCCTAAAACATGAAGCAAGTAAAATAAAACCCACAAAAATGATAATAAACAAATGAATGCATTTTGCAAAATAAAACATTTCCCTTGGAAAGTTGAGGAAAACAAATATGTAAATAGCTTCTGTTTTTATAGTTAAAGCTTTTTAATCTCTGGTGCATAACAACTGAAAGAATTCTGAGAAATTAGACAAAAGTATTTGGTGGATTTGAGTTAATGGGCCAAGCAAGCTTTTTTTCCTTGGCTTCTCTGTCAAATGAATCATAGATTGAGTCTTTGGTAATAGTTTTGGCCATGGAAGGGATTTCTGAAATGCCAACGTAGTTTTTTTTGGCCATCCTTGAACTGGTTGTGATGGTATAGGCATTGCTTCGGTAACATTTCATAGAGGACATGCAAAAAGTCTCTTTCATCCCTCTCCTAAAATTGGCATTATAAATGGAATACAGAGTAGGTTTAGAGGCTGAAGAACTAAAGGATATCCATGTGATCGCTGTGAAGACAAGGGAACTTTTCTTATGGTCTTGTTCATGGGGATGCCAGAGCTGAGCCACATGAAAAGGCAGCCAGGAGAGCAAAAACAACAGATTTAAAATGAGGAACATCTTGATGGTTTTCACTTTTGTCCGTGGGACAATGTTCATTGTCCTCCTCACTGTTCGGCCATCTGTGCCTATTCTCCAAATATATTTTATGACCTTTTGATAAAATAAAATTATGAGGGCAGATGGAATCACAAAGGCCACCAAGAAGTGGATGACAGTATAGGCAGTGCCTTCCCAAGAGGAAGGGAGGAAGTAGTTACAATGGCTGTCCCAGCTGGAGCCATAGAAAAAGAGCACAGGGGTCACAAAGGCTGCATCAAAGATCCACGATGCTGCGATCATTTTCTTGGCTTTTTCTCTGGACACCTTGAAGCTCAGAGGATAGACGATGGTGTAGAACCGGTCTATGCAGATGGAGAGGAGAACATAGATCTGGACACCTGGAGTGAGATACTGAAAATATCGCACAACCTTGCACATGGCACTACCAAGCGTCCACCGTCCAGTGGTGAACTGGAGCAGGACAAAAGGCATGCTGGCAACGCTGATGAGAAGGTCAGCACATGCCATGGAGACCACAAAGTAGTTGGTGGTAGACTGAGTCCTCCTACTCCTATGGATGACCAAACAAACCAGGGAATTGCCGAAGATAGAAAACAACCACAGAGTCCCAAAGAAGATGCTGGCTGTGGTCACTTCTCCGGGTTTCAGTCCATAGTGAAGGTCTGTTCGGTTGCTCATCCAGCTGTGCTCCTCACTTAATCCCATCAGGTATTGGCTTGGCAGAGGTGTGGCTGTTCCAGTGCAGCTGCGGTTTTGGAGGGGCACCAGAAGTGTAGAAATAACCAAAGGTGGCTTGCTGTTATCCATTCTGTGAGCAAAAACCATATTCACTTTTTTTCTCTTAATTCTGGATGGGGAAAAGAAGAATGAGGCCTCCTGTTAAAATGGTGTCATACAGATTGGTTGTGTTGACTAAGGCTAACGATCTTATTTGACATGTAGATTGGTTGTCATTTGTCTATGAGGAGGACTTGTGCCTTGGCAGGAAAACATAACTACTATCCAGAAAAAGTTCTGACCCCCATTTTGTTTTCATTTTAGGAGCTGTTTCAGTAGATCCCAGCCCAGGCTCCCTCTGGTCTCACCTTCTCTTGACCCTTAGCCATACCAAGCCCTACTCCTACACATATCCTTGTTCCCTTCACTCATCAGGGATCACAGGGTTAGGGAGCTCATATGTGGCTCGTGGTAAGGGTGTTACCACCAACTGAAGATCTGCTGGAATTCTGGGCAAGTATGTGAGAAGTTCCTAAATGTCAGGAGGCTTCAAGAGAGGAAAGTGTGGGCAGATGGAAACACACAGATTTTGACTATGGAGGTAGCTAACAGCAGTGTGTGACTGTAGACTGGCTAGCTATTGGGAAGGGTGCTGTCCTTACTTAGTGTAGATTTTCCATTACAGAAGAATATGGTAACACATGGCGCAAGCAACACTGATACATGAGTCAGAAACAGCTCCTAATTTAATGACATCTGAAAATAGCTTGCTTTATCCACAAGATGATACAGTTCATCACTAATAGCTTGCCACCTACCAGTGACATATAGTTTGATGCTATTCTGTTGTTATTGTTTCATAAAATAATATACTGACTGAAGAACATACAAGGTGTCCTCTAAGAAATATAACTAGGTTATAAGAGACCTTATGGCAGTGAAGTGATTAAAAAAAAAAGTAACTGTTAGCTAAGCACAGTGGTACACACCTGTAAGTCCCAGCTACTCAGAAGGCTGAGGCAGGAGGATCACTTGGTTTGAGAAGTTTGAATCCAGCCTGGGCAACATAGCAAGACCCAATCTCTAAAAATAAGTAAATAAATAAATAAATAAGAGTTAAAATTACTAAGCACTTTTTAAAAAGCTTATCATTCTTAGATATAAAAGAATATTTTAAAGTTTAGCCTTTATTTTATTCTTTTTGTATTATTCAGTGAGGAAAAAATGTTACACTTTTTAAATAGGCAAAAATATTAAATAGTTGTGGGTCATTCAATTAAAACTGAGGTGATTTTGCTCATAGATTATGAAGGTTTAATTTGGTTGGAATCCAGGAAACAAAAAGAGAAACAGTAGTAATTTAATCCATAATAACTATAACAATTATGGTTATTAAGGTAAGAGATAAGGATAAACATTAATATTTACAAAAATTTGCCCACTAAAAGTAAAAGCCCATTTGGGGTTACAGCTGCCATTTTGCTAAGATTCCATCTGGCCTGTGGCACAAGGGGATGTGGCTCCAGCAACAGGCTTTTCTAGTAGTTACTATTTCTCTCTTGGTGGGCTCCTGTGTTTGCACCTCACAAAGGAACATTTCTCAAGTGACAGTCAGGATTAAAGAATAGTTCATGGCCGGGCGCGGTGGCTAATGCTTGTAATCCCAGCACTTTGGGAGGCTGAGGCGGGTGGATCACGAGGTCAGCAGTTTAAAGAGACCAGCCTGACCAACACAGTGAAAGCCCATCTCTATTAAAAATACAAAAATTAGCTGGGCGTGGTGGCGGGCACCTGTCCCAGCTACCGGGGAGGCTGAGGCAGGAGAATCACTTGAACCTGGGAGGTGGAGGTTGCAGTGAGCTGAGATCGCACCACTGCACTCCAGCCTGGGCTACAGAGCTAGACTCCATTTCAAAAAAAAAAAAAAAAAGAATAGTTCATAATGAAAGAACAGTTCTTAATGACTAATTTTTTCTTTTCTTTTCTTTTTTTTTTTTTTTTTGAGACACAATCTCGCTCTGTCGCCCAGGCTACAGTGCAGTGGCATGATCTCGGCTCAGTGCAACTTCCACCTCCCAGGTTCAAGAGATTCTTGTGTCTCAGCCTCCTGAGTAGCTAGGATTATAAGTGTGCGCCACCATGCCTGGTTAATTTTTGTATTTTTAGTAGAGGTAGGGTTTCACCATTTTGCCCAGGCTGGTCTCAAACTCCTGACCTCAAGTGATTTGCCCACCTTGGCCTCCCAAAGTGCTGGGATTACAGGCGTGAGCAACCACGCTGGGCCCTCATTTATTCTTTGAAGGATTTTTGTACTAATTTGTGGTAGAGAAAGAAATGTTAATATATATCATCTTCACCAAAAAGCTACATTCAATACAAGTCTGGTGCTCAAGGAAATATCAATGCCCATTCTGTATTATCTTTAGGCTTTTTTGTCCATGGGGCAACCTTACTTAAGGGAGCTTAAGTAAGATAATTCAAGTTAAAAAAAAATTTTTAAAAATTATTTTTTGCTACCACACAGAAACCTGAAATAATTAAACTTTTTGACTACTAAAATATCTTTAAGCATGCTGGAAAAATGATAGCCAATGGTAAGAATAGCAACCATACTTTCTGTATAAGAAATCAGGATATAAGATCTAAAATTAGCACTGTTCTAAAAACTCTGGACTGCATGACCCTCATACATGCAAGATTGAAGTCATCTTTTCACCTTCATATGTGTAAAAGCTATGAAAAATTTTAAAAACCTTTTGTTTTTAAGACTTAAAGTTTAAAAATAAACTAAAACAGACAATTTCCCCAGACAATAAACTGTTCTACCTTTTCTGGGATGCCTGTGGCCTGAATAAAACAGGAGTCGCACAGGCACTTTTCATTAGTTAATGGACATACTTGAAAACCTGTGAACTTCTTCTGTTTCTTCCTTCCTCTAACGACAAAACTCTGCAAATGAAGCTCAGGCTCACTGCTTTAACTAAAGCCCGGGGAAGCCCCCTTCCATCATTTCCTCCAGTTGCTTTACACCCATGAGTCTGTCTGCCCATTGCCCCAGCCCGACCACTTGGAAACAGAGGACCCCAATGCTCCGAAACAGGATGAGGGAGCCCGAGGTGTTCCTGAGTCTAGGTTTCCTCTGCTGATGGCATGACTTCTCACTCCACCTAAAACTGCTACAGTTCTGTTTATTCATTCTGTAAATCAAGAAACCAGGAGCTAAGTAAGAGAAAAATAGGGACCCAGTTTGGCCTGGGTAAGGGGAAGAAAAGGAAAGGTTTCACAAAAGAGGTAAAGTTTGAGCTGGGATCCTAGAGGATGAATAGGACTTCTTCAGGAAGACAAGTGAATAAAACATTCCAGGGGAGATAGCATGTAGAGTGAATTTTGGGGTCATTTTTCGGGTTGATCTTTTTTGGGGCCCTTTTCCCCTCAGAAACATAGTTTCCTTCAGACCATACCTCCCAGAGTACATAGTTTTTAAATGCCCTACAATCAAACTGACCTCAATGTTTCCCATGGTTACAATGAGAGGTTATATTTTCTGCATTCATGGGCAGAAATGCGGTCAGACAGTGGATAAGAACATTAGCATATCCAGAATGGTTGCAGTACCCTTGTTCATACAGCATTTTCCAAGTTTATTTTGCTCTAGGTTAGCAATACAGTACATTTGAGTCTCCCAGGGAGCTTTAAAAAATATTGATGCCTGGGTTCCGGCTTCAGGGATTTTAATTTAATTGCCCTGGAGTGCAGCCTGGGTATCAGATGTTTCAAAGTTCCCCAGGTGATCCTGATGTGTAGTCAAGATTAATAATCTCTGCTTTAGAAATACTTCCATCTGGCCAGGTGTGGTGGCTTGTGCCTGTAATCCCAGCACTTTGGGAGGCTGAGGCGGGCAGATCAGGAGGTCAAGAGATCAAGACCATCCTGGCTAACATGGTGAAACCCCATCTCTACTAAAAATACAAAAATTAGCTGGGTGTGGTGGTGCATGCCTGTAGTCCCAGCTACCAGGGAGGCTGAGGCAGGAGAATCACTTGAACCCAGGAGGTGGTGGTTTCGGTGAGCCAAGATTGCACCATTGCACTCCAGCCTGGCAACAGAGTGAGCCCTAGTCTCAAAAAATAAATAAATAAATACTTCCATGTTTCTGTCTTCTCCACTGAACTGTGGACTCCAGCAGGGAAAGGTGATGTTGCTCTTTTTCTCCATGCTCTACAGCTTCCACTGGAGTTCTTTACATTAATCATTGCTTATTAGATGTTTACTAAATTGGATCTATAAGGACAGAGAACTGAAATAAATGGCTCTTACTCTATGCGCCTCTGCTAGGAGAATTAAATGCAGTTAGAAAACTACTGTATATTCTCAGAGAGCTGAAACATTGGGGACCACGGTGGTAGGGAAAACATGACTCCTGATAAAAGCAGGGCAGGTGAAACTGCAGCTACCCAGGTCGACTGCTATATGAAACAGACATCTCATCTAAGGGAAAGCGAACGTAATTTAGGTTTCTTCAGGCAGGTTCTTGCACTTTCCTCCCAGAAAAAAGGTCTACCATATTATAACTAAATTCTAGGGTCCCAAAGTAAAGTTTCAGAAAGGCCTCCCCTGCTTATCTTCAAGGGGGTGTTTCTGAAATATAAGATCTGGTTAATTAGTAATTCTGTTCAGAGCCATCCATATGCCGTAATTTTAGGAGTGACAAGAAAGGCTTCTTCACCGCTTTCCTGTTCAATCCATTTCTTCCCAGCCAGTTCTGAGACTACCATTTAACATACTCCTTTGGTTGAGGTATTGAAGGCCCTTATTTACCTCTGTCTATATATGATCTAAAAGAGGAATCATTCATTTATCCCATTATCTATTTCTCATCCATCCAGGCTTTAAGATCGATACACGAATGGGGAAAATGGTAGATGGGTTGTCATAGTGCAGAACTGGGGGCTAGGCATGGTGGCTCACGCCTGTAACCCTAGCACTTTGGAAGGCCCAGGTGGGTGGATCACCTGAGGTCAGGAGTTCAAGACCAGCCTGGCCAACATGGCAAAACTCATCTCTACTAAAAATACAAAAATTAGCCGGGTGTGGTGGTACACACGTGTAGTCCCAGCTACTCAGGAGGCT